TGTGTGTGTGTGTAGTTAAAGGACATTCTTGCCTCACAACCATTTGTTGGTATCTTAAAACTTTTTTATAATGTAATGTTCTCATTCAATTCAAAAAATTATAGAAAATAATTTAAAATAAATATCAAAAGATAAATGTTATTTTTTACTTATGTAAAAGATCAAAATACTTTTGTCATTAACTACTTTGATTGACTATCAGGTAATTATCATATCACCAAAAATAAAAAGTATATTATAGTTAGAGTTAGAACTACTGCAATACTATTAACAAACACTTTGTTCATAAGTTAACATGGAAAAATGACTAACAAGTAGTAGTATACTTCACAACTCACCAATTTTTTCCTGGCGGCTTGTGTTGTGAAAATTCTGATTCACTGAACAATGGATGGGCCCAACTTTTTTTTTTCCAAACCATAATGGGCCGGTCGTCCTACTCTTAGGCCTGATCTTTTTTTACAAAAAAAAGGCCGAAACATCATAGACATATTGATTTCCACTTTTTACTCGTGAAGACGTGATTTCCCTGTAAAACACAAATCAAGATCAATCATAATTAATTCAGTGATATTGTCGTCCTTGTCAATTAGTAAACATATGACATACGTCACGTTTGAATATTAGTATATTCTTCAGATTTTTTTGGCCAGGGAGTTGGATTCTCATTTTAGAAAATATATAAAAACAAATTTTTGTGAATTGAATGACTCCTTATTGTTTATTTATTTATTTTGGATAGAATGACTCCTTTACTATAGAATATTCATAATCCGCATATGATTACCTGATATTTGAATAAATTAATTAGTATTTTCTTTAAAGTACAAAAATATCTGGTTTGAAGAATTTATGGGGAGAGAATGACAGATAAACTTTAAGGGAATCAATTAATTCAAAGTAAGTATTAACATGCCACACTTTAAAAATTTTTAAATTCAGTTTTCAATTTTCAATTTCATTATGATAAATTTATAACTTATTTTTAAAATTTTAACATGATTAAAAATAAATAATTTTTTTTTGTTAAAATTTAAAATATAAATTATAAATTCATCACAATGAAATTACAAAATTAAGAGCCGAAGCAAACTTACAAATTTATGGAGTTTAGCACTTTGGGACATACTTTAAATTAATTGATCCTTTGAGACCTACTCCCTCCGTTCAAGGATATAAAATATTTTTAATTGAATCTTACTTCTAATAAAATAGTTATTTACTTTTAAACTAACCTTATCTTTTCATATTCATCCCTATTAAATACTCTATAATAAATATAAATTTATTATTAATAAGGACACTTTTAAAAAAAAGGCAATAATTAAAACTCGAAAGATTCAAAATGCTTTACATTTTTTAATACCTAATTTTTCAAAAAATATCTTATATTTTTTAATGGAGGAAATATATATTATTCTCCCTTTTGTAGACATGTGTGACTAAGGAGTAGTCCTTCACGAAAAGATGTTTTATTATTTGAAAAATAAAAATAAATACGGCTTATTTTTGCTGGATCCCTTTATTTTAATTTGACTTTTTTACAGTATACACAACAATAATATTAATATACCACTACTATATTAAAATAAAATCACGTATCATGATAAATTTATTATACACATAAACAAAAAAAATGTCATTTTTAACTTGCTTGGTGATTTTTTTTTAATTTTAAATTTGAATGCAGATAAAAATACCTTTTGTATAGCTGAAATAAAAGACCTTTTCAATTAAGCAAAAGGAAGAATTGCATTGCAGGCCCTAGATCAACAAAAATTTTTACTTTAAATTCAATACATTTTGATATTATACTATAGGCTTAAAGGCCCTTGTTATAAATTTTTTTAGGACCGAAAGTATAATTTTGCTTTTATATGATTTAAAAACTTAGATCATGTACAATATAATATCCATGATGCATAATACAATATTCATGGATATACAATATAATATTGATCATATTTATTTGCACATACAATACGATATTCATGAATACACAACATTATATTCATGAATTCTCAATACAATATTCATGTATCCCAATGCATGAATATTTAGTTAAAAATATATGAACATTATGTTGTGTATTCATAAATATTATGTTGTATATTGTGTTTGTCACTTGTGCAATTTATTAAATCTATTGATTAATTATACATGCATAGATATTGTGTTGTGCATCATAGATATTATATTGTACATTGATAGACGTTGAATTGTGTGTGATCTGAGTTTTTAAATTATATAAAGACAAAATTATATTTTTGCTTTTAAGAAAAATTGCAACAAGCTCCCTTAGACCTATAGTGCAATAACAAAATTTATTGAACTTATAGTGTAATTTTTTTCTCTTTTAAAGCCTGTAGTGTAATTTCCCCTAAGCAAAATGTGTGCTTGTCTCTCTGATTTCTTTTAAAGTCAATTGATTTAAAATATTTAAATTATTATTAGAGTTACATGAACATCAATAATGAATATTAAAATAAAATCACGAATCATGATAAATTTATTATTCACGTAAACAAAAAAAAGTCATTTTTAATTTATTGCTTGCTATTTTTTTAATGGAAAAATCACATCCAGCCCTCCTCAAGAAAATTAATCACAGATAAAAATCAATGCAGAATGAACTATTGTTAAAATAAAAACATGATTTATTTATTTTTAAATAAGACTTGTTGTTAATTCTTATCTATGATTAATTTTTTTGATAGGAGATTGGATGTGATTTTTTTTTAATTTTAAATTTGAATGTAGATAAACACCTTTTGTACTATAGCCATACAAAAATGCCTTTTCAGTTATGCAAAATATGTTTGTCTCTCTGATTTCTTTTAAAGTCGATTGATTTAAAATATTTAAATCATTATTAAAATTACATGGACATCAATAATGAATTGTTCCTGATTTGTGCACTGCATTATGTCAACTTTCAAGGTCTTCGTTTCTGTTCCTCACAAGTCCCTGCTTCTTCAAGCCTCATGATTAATCAAGGTCTTTACCACTTAAATTTCATCAAGGTCGTCTTCTTAATTTGTCTCTTATCTTCATTGTATTAGCAAGATTGTTATGTTTGGTGATATTTATTTGCAGTTAAATCGCTCTTTAATTGTTTTCAAAATTTTCTTCTGTAGTTGAACAGATGAAGTTGTAAGAACGTGAAGAAATCTGGGAAAATCATTTTCTGGGTTGCATTCTGTTCTACGTATACCTTCGCAGTTTTTCTTTCACATTTTACTTTAACATTTTCTAATGCATGGTTTATTTGTCGCCGTTTTTCTTTGCTAATAGTAATACAGATGTCAATCAAATTTTAGGGCCAGTTTATTAACGTTCATGTGCTATTAATTGTTATCATTGTGATTTTTTTTTTTTTTGGATTAGCTTTGGATCAACTTCCTGTCTACTTCTTATCTTCAACATTGGATCATCAACTTTTAATGTTTGAGATTTAATATTTTTTATACAACAACATTATTTTAATATTAAATAAAAAAATAGATAAATAAATTTTAAACTGTTATAATTTAATTTGAACAATTCTCAACTGCATCCTTGCAATAAAAATATTTTATAAAATATTTAAATTAGATCTTGGTCTCAAAGAATAATGATATATATTATTTCTTTTCTAAATATTTCACAAATAAAAAAAATATTTTTAGACTTCTCCGACTGTATTTTTATTCATTAGAAAAAATCAAAATAAAAATGAAATTCTTACAAATAGTTCGATTTAATTCAAGAGAGTTAAATTATTCTGTTATAAAATTACTGACAAAATTGTATAATTCTTTTTTGGATGAATACAAAGTATAGTTTAACACTTAATACTAATTACTACCTAATATTGCATCACTTTCAATATTAGGTATCGCTTATGTCTTCTTTTTTTTTGTGGGGGACAAAGAGGCATCGCTTATGTTAAAACAATTATATATTTTTCATTATAGTTTTTGTATATATTGTGATTAGGGGTGTTCAGTCCGGACCCGTCCCGATTGGCCCGGTATCGTCCCGATCATATCGGGACGGGTCTTGTCCCGGCCCGAAAATAATCGGGACGGGACTTTTCGGGACGGGACAGAAAAGAGGTTCGGGACGGGACGGGACACGGGATTACCATCGGGACGTCCCGTCCCGTCCCGAATATTATATATATTTTTTTTATTTTAAATATATTAATTATATTAATATAATTTATACTTATATTAATTATATCAATTATAATTTTAGAAGAGTAATTAGCTTAGTACATCTTCACTAAAGTAGAAGAACAATGATTTGATGTTATGTTTGACTTGTCTGTTGTTACTAATCTTATAGTATAAAGATCATTTGTATTTATTATTATAATGTGTAGTTATGATTAATATAATTCAATAATTGATTTTAAATTATTGTTATTTATGTACTTGTGTTGTTTTGATTTTAAACTTAATAAATTATATGATTTAAAATTTTAATGAATGTTATTATCCAGATCTTTTTCGATATTATTCCATTTATCGGAACGGCGGGACGTCCCGATCTTGTCCCGGTCCCGTCCCGACTCTTAACGGGACGGGACGACTTCCGGGACGGGACGGGACACGGGACCAAAATTCAGTCCCGATCTTTTTCTCGGGACGGGACACGGGACGGGGGTGTCCCGGTCCCGTCCCGTCCCGTGAACACCCCTAATTGTGATACTTTGTATATTAGTATATTAATTATTTATGTGTATATTAAATTCGTAAATATTTAAAAATATATTTTTGAAAAATGTTAACATTCATTTTTTATATAAATTTTTCCCCGTACCTAGTTTAATTTTCTTGCTTCCAGTACTATCAACACATTATAGCAAGTGCTCTTTTTCATTGAAGAGAAATTTCACAGAAAATCCTTGCATAATTTTTAAAATTTTGCAAAGGTTGGCAGACCGATGAGTGTATGTATGTATGTATTTATAATTAAGACTACCAAAACAACTTCACAGAAATGGCAGAGCCAAACCAAACTTCACCCGTGTCTGATTCAAAAGGGAGGGAAGCTTCACTTCCATCTTTGGATGATCTGATAGAGCAAAGTCTTGGAGACTTCGGGTGGAGACAACTCCTTCAATCTCTTCTTGTATCTTTCACAATGTTCTTCGATGCACAACAATCATTTATCACCATCTTCACCGATGCTCACCCACCGTGGCACTGTACTTCCACCGATCACATCACTTGTGACCCAAAAAATTCCGACATCTGCAAACTTCCAAGATCTACTTGGTCCTGGGATGGACTCTCTTCTAAGACAATCATATCTCAGTGGAACCTTGAATGTGGTAGTTCTTTCATTACAGGTTTACCACAATCTTCTTTCTTCATGGGGTGCTTAGTTGCTGGGTTTCTTTTCGCCACCTTTGCTGATTCATCTCTTGGCAGGAAGAACGTTTTGTTTCTATCTTGTTTAACCATGTCAATTGCTTCAAGCATCATTGTCTTCTCCCCCAATGTCTGGGTTTACTCGGCTTTCAAGTTTTTGATTGGATTTTGCCGCTCCTCGCTCGGAACTTGTTCCCTGGTTTTGTTGACAGAGAGAGTGCGTAAAGAGTGGAGGTTCCGAGTTGGAGTGCTTGAGTATATTTGGTTCACATTAGGATTTCTATCTCTGCCTGGTATAGCTTATGTTAATAAAGATTCCTCATGGAAGTCTCTTTACCTATGGACATCAATTCCTGGAATTTTCTATTCTATCTTTGGTTATCTTTTTGTTACAGAGTCTCCTAGGTGGCTTCTCATGCAAGGTCGAGAAAAAGAAGCCATGGCTACGCTCAAAGGAATCACTTTAACTTCATCAGGACTTGGTGGGACTGTGACTTCAACCCAATTATTAGTACTCGCCCAACAACAAAATGCTTCAATTTTGAACCTCTACTCATCGATCAGGGAACTGTTTGGAAAAACTTGGGCTCTTAAACGAGTTGTGACAGTTATGATACTTGGTTTTGGAATTGGAATGGTATATTTTGGCGTGCCTTTGAACGTGGGAAACTTGGGAGTCAACATATATTTGAGCACTGCCTTTAATGCTTTATTAGACATACCGGCTTTTATAGCCACCTACTTGTTGGATAATTGCAGAAGAAAGCCTTCAATTCTAGGTTTCTCCATAGCAAGTGGGATTAGTTGTTTGATTTGTGCTGTGATAAGAAATGAGCTTCATACAGTGAAGCTATGGCTTTCTTTGGTGTCATTTTTCAGTGTAGGTACAGCTTTCAATGTGTTTCTGATATATGTGATAGAGCTGTTTCCCACAAGTGTAAGGAACACTGCAACATCGATGGCGAGGCAGGCCATTGTATTTGGAGCCATATTCAGCCCATTTTTGATATCACAAGGAAGGAAAAATGACTTTTTCTCTTATGGCATATTTGGGGTTATGATATTAGGCAGTGCTTCTTCTATTCTATGCTTACCAGAAACCAGAGGAATTGTTCTATGTGATACAATGGATCAACAGGTGAGGAAAGAAGGCAGAAATGTGCAATGAAGTATTTATATATTAAACTCAAGTATTTATATCAGTAATGAAGTAACCTGGATCCTTTTTGTGCTGAACTCTGAGTCTCTAAACATTCTTGTTGATTTGCTTATGAAGAGAGAGCAGGGCTTTGAATTCCTACTGTGATAATGCTTAGATTTCTTTGGCGTGAACCTTGTACTATCTTCTCCATTTTAGTTCAGTTTATCATAATAAATTGACTTGGTAGTTTTATGTAATGAGTGCAATTCTATTTCCTATGGGTTCTCTTAGGTATACTAGGAGTACAATGCATGTCATCTGTACATTTGCCAATAAAATCATCCCACCTCATATTGATTTCATCTGATTTGTCATTAACTCTTTTTGTCTTATTTGAATCACTTTAAACTTATTGATATTATATTTGGATGCATGTAGATTTAGATTTGAACTGAATCCATTGTTTGGGTAGTTAAAAATGTGTAAATTTGGATTTCACCCAAATCAAAATCTAAACATTGCCTTAGTCTATTTGTAATCTTAAATTCTTTCTAAGCCTTTATATTTCAAATTTTCAAGGAAGCCTCCCTCTTCCTTTGTTTCATTTGTCAAATTCACTACCTTTTCAACTTTGATACCACTACCTCCAGCCAACTTCTATGGGGATTAGACCATTGGTGTTGATTGAGACCAGACGACAAACTTTAATATAGATCGAACAACAAGTGACGATCAAGACCGAAATGCTAGTGATGATCAAGTTCGAATAGCCAGCGTCAATTGAGACCTGACAACTAATACTAACAAGGACAAGACTGTTAGAGCCACTCGGGATCAAACCGTCAGGGCTGACCAAGACCGGATCACTAGCAACTATTAGGATTCGATGAAAGACTTCAATCAGGTCAAGATCAAAGGTGCCAACCAGGACTAGACCACTAATACCGATTGAGAATGGATGACTAAGTTTGACAATGATCAGACCACCAGTGCCAACCAAGACTAAATAGCCAATAACTATTGGGATCGAACCACCAGCAACTACCAAGATAAAACTGAAGACTTCAATTGTGACCAAAATGTTAGTGCCGAAGGAGATTGGATTGCCACTGCCGACTTTAATTCTTATTATTAATTTAATTAACACATTAGGATCCACTTATCATTATTTGATTGGATATAAATATATTAAACATATAAATCTAAGTACATAAGTTTTATCCATTAATTAATTCACATGAAAAGTGCCTCTTCAATTTTTCTTCCTCTCCTCTTTGCCATATCATAATCAACTCCTTTGAAATGAGAGTTATTAGTTTAAATCTTTTTCCCCCTCTCTCTCAAGCTTTGAAAATTAATGTATTTTAGTATAAGATAGTTTTTCAACCTAACCCATTTAATCCTAAAAGTACTGAGCTAGGGCTTAGGCAACACATTTAAACCTATATTTATTTTAGGCTAGAATAAACTTTTAAAATATGTGTTTGGTTTTTAAAATTATAACTTGTATTACTTATTTTAATTTATACTTTAGAGCATGTATATGTAATATTTTAATATCAAATTTAATTTATAAAATTTTTAAAAACAAAAAATAAAATTAACTTTCAAGTCCAACTCTAAATTTGATAAATAATAACCAAATTTTAAAAAATTTAATTGTTAATTTCAAAATAAAATGATTCATGGGCCTTAATTAATATGGGCCAAGCCTAAAAGACTCAAATTTAAATAAGCTTCCTATCTTCTCTATCATCGATCTTTTTTTGTTTAGTTGTTCATATGATGTAGTAATGTAATTAAAAAAGGAAAAATAAATTACCTAGCTTGTTTATTATTTTTGCGAATAGAGCAAAATTTTCCTTCCAAACAATAAAAATAAAGTCTGATAATTTAAAATTGTTATTAGCACTCAATTATTAGTTATTACTTGTGTGTAGGGTGTTCATACATATTCGAGTTCATCCGCTAATTAGTTTGTAAAGGTTCAATGAATTTGAAGCTTTTATGGGTAAAACTTTAAATTAAAAAAAATAGAATCATTAGGTTTCACCACAAAAAAAATAGAATCATTAACTTTGATCAACCTCGCCTCATTTGAGGCTCCTACAATGAACATATTTGAATTAGTTGGCAGTGATAGATATAAAAAAAAAAATCACAAACAAAAATGACTTGCAGAATTTGCACATGCCCTAAATAATTAGTTGGCAGTGATGGTGCTATATATAGACTATATTAGTGAGAGATATATCCACACACTTTCATATCACTAAGTTGGGTTTGTAAGCTCAACATGACAAATTCCAAAATTCATTTGCCTTTTTTCTCTCCTTTCTCTTTGTCTCTTTTGTTGTGAGTGATCGTTCTATCCTTCCTAGCAAATTATATGATTCTAACATGAACTATAATATTATTGGACTTGTTCCCTCTGGTTCAGATGCTCAACAATCACCTGATTCACCTTCTCTCGCTTATAGCAAAATAGATTATTCTCACTTGAACTATAACATCAAGAGACTTGTTCCCTCAAGTCCGAATCCTCAATAATTACCCAATTCACCTCTTCTTGCTTCCAGCAAAATATATGGTTCTAACTTGAACTATAATAACATTAAGAAACTTGTTCCCTCAAATCCAAGTTTTCAACAATCACTTAATTCACCTCCTCTCGCTTCTAGCAAAATATATGGTTCTAGCTTGAACTATAACATCAAGAGGCTTGTTCCTTCAAGTCCAAATCATCAACGGTCACTTGATTCACCTCCTCTTGCTTCTAGCAAAATATATGGTTCTAACTTAAACTATAATAACATCAAGAGACTTGTTCCCTCGGGTCCACGTTTTCAACAATCACTTGATTTGCCTCCTCTCACTTCTAACAAAATATATGATTCTAGCTTGAATTACAACATCAAGAGGCTTGTTCCTTCATGTCTAAATCATCAACGTTCACCTGATTTACCTCCTCTCATTTATAATAAATTATACGGTTCTAACTTGAACTATAATGTTAAGAGACTTGTTCCTTCAAGTCCAGATCCTCAGCAATCACCAAACTCGCCTCCTGTTTCTTCTAGCAACTATGGGACAAACAATCAATGGTGGCTGACTCATTGAAGGCTTATGCTTTGTTGGAGACCAGGAATGATGGTGTCTCTTGATGTGTCAAGTTTTCTTTAGCTTCGATGGTTGGGTGATTTTATTTGCTTTAGTTTCCTGTTCATGAATAGTGTGTCATGCGTGGTTGGTGTGACGTTGTGTCGTTTACACCTTTTTTTTTTTATTGCATTGATAAATCACAACCTGGCCCACCCTGGTCCTTTGATGTGATGTTATTTGTACTGTTCCGTTGCTTTCGTCGTTTAATGGAATATTTATTCAGTCCCCCCCGCCCCCCCAAAAAATAAAATAAAAAATCAAAGAGTGTATCTGTTGGGGGAAAAAACATCATGCGCTCTGAGACTAGCAAATCAAGCGTTTTGCAATATTGCCTAACATATATGTCTGATTACTCGAGTTTCAGGAATATTTTTCTCTCTGATTCATTTTAAAAAGATAAATTAACGGTGTTGATCAGAACATATAATTAATATTTCACGCAAAAAAATTAGGAGTAATTAATTTCGTCTCAAGGTCATCAAAGTTTAAAATTCCCATGGGACAAGAAACTCATACTATAGTCTAAATTATTATTGCACAGATTTCTGATATAAAATTTTTCTTTATACGGGCTTAAGTGTATTTTTTGGTTAAAAAATATAATTATTTGATGGGCATGATTTAGGTATTTATCTTTATATAATTGATATACTTTTATTCAATTAAATCAAAACAAGTGTATTTTAATATGTTAATGATATTAATGACAAGAGAGTTTTTATGGAATAAATAATCTTAAATTAACAAGACATATACAATTAAATTAACAATACCATTTCATTATTAAGAACTTAAAAAAAAGGCAATTTAAATATAGATAGACAACTTCAAAAAAGCCCAACAACAACAATTTGGACCCATCCAGGTCATAGTGTCGACCCAAAAACTATAAAGAAAAGAAACTAAAGAGGAGAGAGAGATGTATCACAGAGAGAGAGAAAGGAGGGGGACGAACAGCCTGAAAGTCATAGTGGTTCTGGTAACATGAAGAACGCACAGAAGTATTAGTTAGAGTGTTGTTGTTTATTAGTCAAATTTGGAAAGATCTCTCTCTCTCTCTCTCTCTCTCTCTCCTCTCTCTCTCTCTCACACACAAAATTAGAATATCTTTGAAGTGCAAGATTGATTATTAACTCCAACACTTCACCTGAACCCTTATCTCTTTAATTATGATTATATCTGTACCTTTTCTTCTTCTTGAGGGTTGAAAAAACTGTTATTATCTTTGCTTTACCTCTATATTCACTCACACTCTATTATAATGAAGTCTAGTATTCGTGAAGCTTTCAACTCCTATTAGAAACACTAGACAAATCGTCCACTTCACTGAATATATATAATATTATAATTTCTAATGTAAGACCCCAGGACATTTTTGTATTGCAGAAGAAATTGAATTGGCAGTGGAAATAATAACAAATGTTTTTTTCCCTAAAAAGTGAATTGAATTTGCTTAACATCTTTGATAATAACTGCAACAAGAAAAAAAAAAACTATTATTCATTCAGACAAGAAAACATCGACCCAAGGATGTGTATAAATATGTACATAAGGCGCTCTGAAGGGTTAATGTCAAACAAATGGGTTACCCAAAATTCATAAGAAACTAAGAAATAATATTGGATCAGATCAGATTGGAATAATTAAGGTTTCTTACAGAATAATCACAGAGACAATTCTTGTGGAATGTAAAGTTTAATGACTTCGACAAGAGACCAATATGGCTTTGTCAAAGAACTAAAACACTATTAGAAAGGGACTAAGAGTATGCCAAGATCTCTGCATATATGTATCCGACCCCTAAAAAATTGAAGCTCTAGAATTTTCATCTATATATGACTTCTTGAGTTTTGAGTTATGTATAAAATATCCTTTTCCATATTAAAATTTAACACTGAAAATAAAGTGAGGCCATGTGCAAATGATATGTTGTTATTACCTAATTACTAATCAAAGTGATATATATGCATGTTAATGCAAATAACTTTCTTAAATTTACGTCTCAACAGTGAAGTAATGTGTCACTACCATAAAAAATAAAAAAATAAAATAAAAAAGCCTACAAGAACGTTCCTTTAAGAGCACTTACATATAGAGGAATTATGACCGGCTCACATGAAGTCTTGAAAGTCTGTGTGAATGATGCATAAAACATCTTCAGGAAAGTTACCCCTAATTGAGTCCAACATTTGATCTAGTTAGATAGTAATATATATATATATATATATATATATCAAGGCTATGATGAAGATGATTATCATCATATTTGTACCAAATCTAAAATTCAAGCCCTATCTTCTTCGTTATTTCTCTTGTCATTAATCACATACATACATACATACATACATACATACATACATACATACTACATACATACATACATACATTATTCAAAAACCTGCGAAAGAATTAAATTGAGGTCCTTGTAAAATTATAAATTAATATAAACACCAACGTGATTACCATATTATATATAAAGAAATTCTTGTTTCTTGCTAGCTATCTATCTATCTATATGGGACGTTGTTTTCTTGGGGGCATTACTGAATTGTCATCAATAAATAAATGGTAAAAGATTCATCATAACATTGTGATATGTCATGTCAATAATATATAGTATTTATAATTTCATTTTGATTCCCATTTTTTTAAATTACTGTCACGGATCGCAGTCAGGTTAATGAATTGACCAGGAATTAAGCAACCATTGTGATTCATATAACAAAACGAAAAGCCAAGGCCCGGAAGGATTGTAACTAATTTATTTAAAATTAAGTAAATCAGAAATAAAAATTATGAAACTTTCTCTGATGAACACGTAACAACACACAAATACATCGTTTTGTGGGGGCAAGACAACAACAATAATGTTGTATTAACCATCATAAGGGTTTATCAAACTCACATGCATGGTTTCATGAGCTATTATCATGATTGATTAAATTATTGGAATTCTGGTTATTTTGAAGGGGAAATTAATAGTTCACTTACTTATGTTTAGTCTTTTCCCCTGTATATTCTGACCTCTTGGTGCCTCGTGAATAGATTAGGAGAATATTACAAAATAAACCATAATGATTGTAAAAAGATTATTAAAAGTACAAATGATTTGAAAGGTTAAATGAATAATTTTTCTTCAGAGGACCATATATGGACAATTTCCCACGCTATCATTATAAGCAGCTATTATGATAATTATTCTGTTTACTATTGAAGTTATATTAACAGCAGATGAAAAATTGACGGAAGTGACTCAATATTCTTTAAACAAAGTCTGCACTCCGAATCTTGTAAATAATAAAAATATACCAGCTATGAAAGTTACCATTTAAGTCTATAAAAGATAGTTCAGTTTTTAAAGATTCAGATCTATAAGTCTGCATTTCTTAAATTGACCATGTTTTAATTAAGCTCCACCCTCATTGCCAAAGCTTGAGTCTAATCTTGAAAGGCTGCATAACTTTTTTATTTAAATTTTTAATTATATTGATATATAATTTAAAACTTTTGTCATTTTCATATATCAATTCAAAAATAAAAATTAACTAAACAATTTCAACCATGTTATTTTGTAATATCAACTATTTTAACTAAATAATTTTCAACCATTTCAATTCACATGCTAATTTAAAAAAACAGAGAAAAAAATGCAAGGTCTAAAAAGGGTAACTCAAGCCCATTCTTTAAAAAAAAAAAAATTAAGGATGGAGCTTGAAAGTCTATTTATGAGAAAATTTTTTTTTTATCTAAACCCGGCCCTCAAAAAATGCAGGGCTTAAAACGGGTAATTTAAAGGATCCGTCTTTATTGACAGCTCCAAGTTACACATGAATTTGTGTTCTTCATTTATATAATTAATTAAAGATGATTTATAAATAAACACAGATGTAATATTTGGTATGAATATAAAGGTAACCTAACTTGTACGGTCCAATATATAGGACCAATTACTAAGATAACAAATTATTCTCAGTCGTTAAAATATAGTTTCTTATAGAGTTGAAAGACCCACCAAAGTGGACTTAATCTACGACCCCAAAATCGCAAAATGTGTGTTTTTTCCATAGTCTTACGTGTGAGTCGGAATGTAATCAATTATTCACCACGCTCATGTTTTTCCCTTCTGTTGACAATTCTCATGTAAGTGCGTAATTGTGACTCCTCGAGATTACTTTTTTCTTTGCAAATTCATGAATGCGTTGGGAGATCGATTAAGCTGTAAATGCTTCTTGATGAAGTTATTATATATATTTGGGCTGTCGGGGGTAATATATATTAAAGACTCTAGTCTAGTGCGCTTTAATTTTCAATAAAAATAATTATCTCATGAATTACTCTTCAAATGAATATTAATTCGTTTAATATGTAAAAGACACTCAATTAGACGTTTGAGAGAGACAGCTTCTCATGAGTGAACCTGAAGTTTCGATTCCAGCTCATTTCTCATTTCATGATAACATAATGGGACCGTTTCATTCTTTCTTGCTCTTAACTTTTCTTTCTGTTTATTCATTTAATTATTTGTTTCTTGGATAGGCGCATACTCTATAATCTTGATAATATTCTTGACTAATTATATATCAATCTTGACATTTTTTTTATCATGTGAGCTGACTGTTATTTTTGTTTGGCTAAAAAGTTTTGTATTTTTGATATAAAATTACATTTGAATTCTAAAGAAACCTGATTGTTTTTTCTCTCACAAGATTTGAACTCTAAATTTTGTTTAAAATAGCAAATGTCCTTATTTGACCCAATCATAATTTTCTATTAGTCATTAATTAATTACAGAGAGTTTTTTTTTTGAAAGAAAAGTAGGATAAAATTTTCATAATGAGAAAGAATGATACATAACAAAAGCTTCTTTCAATAGTTATATTCAAGTTTTTTAGAACAACACAGGGAATTGAATTGTCCATGCACTTGCGTATCCCTCTGTATGACCTTTTACTTGTATTGGACAGTAAGTACCAGGAAATGTTAGGACTTGGATGTACGCGGGATTAATTATTATTATTATTATAATTATATGATTAAATGAATTAAAATAATGTGTGCTGTTATATATAAATGCTCAGATGGGATGCTAAATTGTATATTGTCCAAGAGCGGCAAGAGTATAGTGAGTAGAGTGAGAAGATCAAGATTCAAGAGTGAGATCGATGGGACATCGTTGCTGCAGCAAACAGAAGATCAAAAGAGGTCTCTGGTCTCCTGAAGAAGATGACAAGCTCGTCAAATTTATTTCCACTCATGGCCACAAAAGTTGGAGTTCTGTTCCTAAACTTGCAGGTACCACATGTATATATCCTCTCTCTCTCTTTCTCTCACATATTCTTTATTACCACCTTATATATATATATATATATATATATTTATATCTTGTGATGCATTAATTCGTTGGTATTATATATGTGTGTAGGGTTGCAGAGATGTGGGAAAAGTTGCAGATTAAGATGGATAAACTATTTGAGACCTGACCTCAAAAGAGGTTCTTTCACTGCCGATGAAGAACAAACCATTATTGACGTTCATAGGATTCTGGGAAATAGGTAACACATCCATCGCTTTCATCTCTCAAAACTTTATTACAATCTTTGGACCGTTTTGATTGCAGCTGCCATATCACATGCAAATGCAAAATAATTAATTGCTTCTGAGTCACTTCACAAAGGATTTAATCTTTATGTGTGGTCTATTATTCATCTATACCATTGCGTGTTTGTAGCAGATCTTTGTTATGACTTGTATCAGTATAATCGCAAGATTGTATTCATATCAGTTGATGCAATTAGAAATGTCAAACATTGAGCGAGTCTTAAGTTTAAAACTGTTAACTACGGTCAGTGCATTGCAAATTATGAGTGTGCTAAGTTAAATTTTGGGGGAAAAAACCTGTAAGTTTCGTACTCGTAATAATGTTTTGAAATTAAGGTCCAATATGAAAGAAGGAGAGATCGTGCCATTATTATTTTATTATTATTATTATTTTTTTAGTGTTCATTAGTGACTGCTCTTACTTGTTTGGTTTTTCCATACTATGTTCGATGGATTTCGGAGTTTGCTGCCTTCTCTGCGCACTGCTCCCTAATGGTCAAAATCACAGCCCTTCTTTTCAGCTAATGGGAAGAGTAATTTATTTGATGGGCTAAAATGAAGGGCTGCAATTTTGAGCATAAAAAGAGAAGCAGACACTCTAAATTCATGGTTGACGTCGTTCCTTGATCCGAATTAGAAGATTACACTATACGCATAAGATTTTGCGTGCGTGCGTGCGTGCGTGCATGCATACACTGCAATACACACATTCATACATATGCATACATATATATAATGCATAATTCAAGTGAATGAAGGATTTTGTGTGGTTGCAGATGGGCTCAGATAGCGAGCATCTACCTGGGAGAACAGACAACGAGGTGAAGAATTTCTGGAACTCATGTATTAAGAAAAACTCATTTCTCAGGGCTTCGATCCTCAAACTCACAATCTTCTCTCTTCTCATAGACGATCCTCTCTTCCTGTTTCTGTTTCTTCTTCCTCTGCTACTAACAGTCATAAACACCAATGGTTCCATCTTCAGACTGATTCATGAACCTGAGAATAATATCAATCTTCAACCTTGTAGCTCCATTGCCGTTTTTCTCCATCGAATACAAACAACCTAATAATGTCTCTAACGGTAATAATGTCCTCGAGCCTCATCATAATTTTCCCCTTGGAACCATCCGTTATTAATGCAAATATTCCTGCAACCACTTTTCTTCCTGCATCATCAAGAACAATCATGATTGCTTATCTTCAGTTGTTGGGTTGTCTGAGAATATTATTGAGAACCGATCATCATCAGCATGGGTTTCTCAGGATGATAATGCTGAAACTGATCAGATCTCTCAGATCAGCTCATACATTGTTAATGGAAGGAGGAATTGGTACTGAAGCACACTTGGAACAAGAGAAGGACAAGAGAAGTACCACTTCTACTACAAAATATTAGTATTAATAACAATATTGAGCAAGTCAGAGGGGAAGACGATAATAATAATAATATTAATATTAATATTAATATTAATAATTGTTGGAGGGGTCAAGTAATAACTTCGACTTTGGGTTGTTGGGAAGGTGTACTTAACTCTGAATATATGTCTTATGACGTTCTCTCCTCCATGGATGACCTTGCAGCATGGGACTTTTAGATCATGCAGGCGCAGTCTTTAATTTGTCATATCTACCTTTTAATTTTGTTTATATTTTTTATTGT